TTCAATTTTTCTCTGATGATTGTACGAGTGAAAAAATAGGCAAAGATTGAAAATGTGTGATCGTATTGTATATGCAAATTAATTAAGCAAATTTATTAAAATTAATTCTTTTTTGATAAGAAATACATGAATCAGAATTTTATTCTTTTTAATACACCCACACGTACACATATATCTTGTTTTATTATATTTATTTACTTTATCTCTCTTCTCAAGAGTAAATATATACAATATGTATACATATAAATATAAGTAACGTATAGTATAAAATGAAATAAATATATGAGATATCAAATAAATACAATAAATGCGATGAAGACGCGCAATATTTGGAACAAACGAAGCTGCCGTACCTTGCAAGACCAGATATCGCTAAACCGAGTAACCGAGTAGCGAATGATTCGCACAGTGGTTGCTCTTCCAACCTGACCTCTTATACGCTATGGCCTCCTATCTACTACTTGTAAATCTAATCCCCTCTGGTCGCAAGCGATCCCGCGATCGACCTCTGGAGGTCCCTAGGATAGCGATTGTGCCTAGGCGCCACGAGTCGGAGTATCATCTCCAGAAGTCGATGGGAACCGTGGTGGCTTCGTCTTCACATATTGTGCCAACAATTAGGTGAAAGGCGCTCCCACAGATCTTAGAAGCCGCGCCAGCGACGAGAGAAAGAACGACAGGGAAAGAGAGGGAGAGAGTCGGATCGAGCGTAGAAGGAAGGAGGGAGGAGAAGGGGAACGAGGGGGGGAGAGAGAGAGAGGGACTGGATCGTTTAATATACCTACTGAGCGACCAACCGACCTACCTACCTACCAACCTACCGACTAGCGATGCTGGACGACGCTTACCGCGTCGCGAAACCGTGTGTACGCGAGAGCGAGTCCGACAGAGACCGGAGTCCTAGTCGAGCAAAACACACCTCGTGCTCGCCCAAGGGGGACTTCTAATCTAGCTGGTAGTTTGACGCGGCGATGATGCGGTAGTAACCTTTAGGTACTCTCCGTCTTCTGGTGCTCCGTGCCGCTGTATCCGCGGTGTATCTCCGGGGCCGCGTTACCAGTCTTTTTTTCCCTTTTTCTACACATCCCGCGCTTCTCATGAGTTGGTTTCTTACGTTCGGACGTTGCGTTCGTAGTTTGCTCGATGAAACTGCAATTTAATCGCTTTAATGCGGTAAAATGACTTCCAGGAGCTGGATTCCCAGCAAATGTTCAGTGTAAGACGAATGTATGCACTCTCCTGCAAAACTGCAATATTTTCGAAAAGAAGATTATTTAATTCTGCTTGATACAAACTGTAAACGTGTATCCACTTTGAATAGAAAAGGAGATAATGATTTATCACGACGTCTTATTCGTAATCGTTATTTTATCGGGCGTTTTTGGTTTTACGCGTTATTTTATGACTCTCATCTTTACCGCGTTTTAAGACGATGATTTAATCGATGATAGTAACCTTTTTAACCTTTAGGCACTCACCTTTAGCTACTATCCGCAATCGCATTCGCTTTCACACGTAAACCGTCTTCGATTATCTTCTCGCCTTATTTCGATTCGATTCTTAATAATATGTTGTAGCGTAAATGTAATTACGCGTGTATCTATATTCATCCGTGACCTCGTCTCATTGATTGACTTTCATCGATTCACTATGGCAAGTTGGTTTTCTCGATGGCCTCGATAGCTTCGATCCTCTCGTGAAAAGAAATTCGAATCTGGAAGATTGATACGTTCGTCAACGATTGGATGTGGCAATTGGAGTCCTTGAAAAGTGGCATCTATACGTGAAATTGATATTGCGCAAGCTCTTCCTATATAATTATCATTACGCGTAGCAGAATATAATCGTCTCAACTGCCGCATTCCTTTCTTTTTCTTTCTTTAAGTTTCCTTTGTGATCCTGACTCTTGTGATATCACTTTCGCGAGTGACATAATATTATCTTGAAATAATTAATTTTTATTAAAAATGAGACGAGAAAAAAGAACATGATGCTATATAATATTTTTATTAGCTCTCTAAGTTTCGAGAAATAATATATGTATTTAAGTCTTTTGACAAAAAGCAATGCACTTGATTTATTAATAAGTTTTGTAGCATAATTTAATATTAAGATTTAAACGATGTTTTTGATTAATTTTCATGTTTTTATCAAAATGTATTATTTTGATGGATTACAGGCATGTTGTTTCCATGTAATATTAGTCGCGTAATTTAAAGAATATGTGGATAGTTGATGATTGTTTCACTTTTTTCCATATTTCATGTTAAAGGGGAGGCATCATATCAAAATAATAACTTATATTGTCTTTAAGCTTTACCATCATAGAAAATCAATGGTAAAAGGCATTGACCATACATTACTTCTCAACCAAACACCAAGATTCACTATATATGGATTACAGGTGTCTGTTCAGGATGTCTTGATTTTTTATTTTACAACCGAAATAATAATGCTATTTTAAGAGACTTACATGTTTCTGAGATGAAAAAGTCATTTCATTTTACATATAATAAAAATTGCCAACATATTACGTGGCATCTTGAAAATAAAATGTAAAACAAAGCAAAATATTTAAAAATAAACAGGTTTACAAAACATTAGATTTGTGCTCAATAAACAAAATAAATTTAAACAATGTAGCTACCGTTTCAATCATAAGCTTAAACTCAGTGTATGATGTCAATCTAAATTTCTTAGACTCAAAATTTCGTTGACAAAAATTGGCTTTCTCTAAAATTCTATAAAAAAACTATATCATATAAATGAAAGAGCTAATTAAGAATTATTAGAATCATATTCTTTTCTTTTATATAAAAATTAATAAAAATTAGCTACTCTTTAGAGGAGGAAATACTTTTCATGTTTACTAGCGTTGTTAAAATTCTTATCTAATCGAAGATAAAAAGGAAAAGAGATTCCATCTTTTCCGCGGTGAAAGCGAATCGTGGCATTGGAGCTACCGCGGTAGCTGTTGCCGCATTTTTCGCCAACCTTTCACCCGAAAAAGGATCGCGGCTGTGCACGACGGCTGACTGAACGTCGCGAAGTTCACTTTCCGCCCGCGGAGGTGAGAGTTCCATGGGAAGCTTCTGCCCGCTAACCGAACACTCCGCGCACGCCCATAACTAAGTGTGTGGAAATGCGAGTTTGTACGAGAAGTGGCTTTATCAGTCGCATATTTGCCCGAGAGCTCGTGGAAGCAGTAATGCAATAGAGAGACGAAGACTGAAGGCGCGAGAATGAGCTTTCCTTGAGAAAGAATCGCCTCGTAAAATAAAAGTTTTATTTAATATTTAATATATTTTTTTTCAATGACACAGAGACGATCGCAAAGAGATGTCTGAAGGTGTCTTATGCCAACATTCCATTCTTTTATATTCATTTTTATATATTTATATTTTATATTTATATTTATTTTTTACATTTATATTTTATATATTTTATATATTCATATACATATTATATATTTATATTCTATATATATTTATTTTTATATATATATATATATATATATATATATATATTTATATTCTATATATATTTATTTTTTTAAATATATTTTTATATATATTTTATATATATATATATTTTTTTTGATTAGGAGATTTAATCGATTTTAGAAGATTTGGAAAGACTCCTGCATATATCTTTTATTGCTTTTTTATTTATACAAGAAATATTGTGCATTTTTATAGCATGTATTTACTGCGAACAGACATTATTCTTTACATGCAAATAATTAAATTTTGTTACCCGAGGTTAAAGTAATTAGAGACGAAAAATTACAGAAACGTTGAGAAGACTCGGTGCGGAAAACCAGCTCGGTCCGTACGTCTCGGGAAGCACATCAACGGGTCGTATTCAATCACCGTGACATTCAGCTCACGACTTTTGCCCCAGGAGGTGAGAGCAGCTTCCAGCCACAACATAAAGAGCGAACAGGATGCACCGCGCGTGCAATCTTATGCGCTCATGGAATACGGCTTCGAACTCCGCGTTTGTTGCACAATTGCGGGAGTGCACAATGGAAGAATTTGCCGAACGATAGCATCAATCTCGTCTTAAACTAGCAAAGTCAGAGAGCGACGTACGATATTTAATATCGTTTAGTAAATCGATTTATTAAATTTTATTGAGAAAGAGATCGATTTCTTGACATTTATAATAATTGATTGAATCTAAAGGTGATTTAAATGTTGCAGATTCAAATGTCGAATAAAAATATTATATATAAAATATATAAAATTAATTAAGAAAATGGATAATATGATTACGATGTTATCGAGTCTAATTCTTTGATCAATTTTTTTAATAAACGTCCCACGTATTTTTAATCTTCTTTAATACACGTTTATTATGTTTTCACACGTCAATTGGATCAAGATATACCGTTAATCGTCGGTTGACTTATTGTGACAAGAAGGATGGTTTCATACAACTCGCTATTTCACGCCTGCGGGAGATCTGTCTTGATCAGGATTGCTACTCTTCTCCGTCTCCCTCTTCCTCGTCCTCGTCCTGTGCGCTGGCCCGTCGCTTAACTCGCCGTGATTTGCGTGACGACCGTTTCTGAGCGATCCTCAGGAATGAATTATCCCGATAATTTCTACGATTGAGTCATCTTATAGCTCTGGCCTCAAACGAGATGCAGATTAATTGTAAGTCACAGTCGTATAATTTGTAGTATAATTATCCGGTATTATGAGATTCTCTCATTATACACCGTGTACACTTAAGAAAATGATGCAATGCCTCGGGACGAAATGTGAAGGAAGGAGAGAAAATCTTTCGTTAGATTACAAACAAACTCACCGTAAATACTACATATTGTGCGACTCGAAATTATTTCCAGAAAACAAACAAAAATAAAAATAAAACAGAGGAATCATCTTAATCATCGCCATGTGACGATATAAAAGGAGCAGGGAGGAATTTTTTTTTAAGCACCAAGGAGATTTCAACACAGAGGAAAGAAAGAAGCACACGGGCAAGAGATGTAGCGTTTTACAACTTGGCGAATTTATTTCTAGTCCGCTGTGAAGAGTGGAATTTTCCCACTAATACAATGCTATGTGCGGAAAGCATACATGAAATCATCGTCGCGCGCGCGTATCATATTATATCTCATCTCTCTTGGAGAGATAGAAACATGAAACTTCCTAACGGGCTGACCGTGTACCTCGGTTGTGTAAAGCTAGCGATACATGCATGGATATCGATGTGGCAATATATATAATATATATTATATATATGTATATATATATATATATATATATATATATATATATATGTATATATATATAATGCAATATAATTTTATATTATAATAAAAAATAAAATAACATTATTATCACTGCTATCATGCCGCGTACAACGTGAAATGCAGCTCTACACTCGTGAGGCCTATCGGCTACAATACAGAATGACTAAGCACTATGTCGATAACATTCGTAAAATAATAATTAATAATAATAATAATAATTAATAATCAATATAATAATAATAATAATATTAAAGACGCAGTGGGATGCACAATTTTTGCAAGCTATGTACAAAGTACGACCGCAATCTCATTCCGCCCTAAAGGGAAATCGAAACAATGTTACGGAAAGAAAGACGAAATTCTGTCCTGTGCTCCTCGAAGCCGCACCGTGGATCTATTCGTGTAAATTTTTTTCACATTAATACCGAATGTGCGAGTTTGATGTCTAGCTAAATGGCAGCTCTCGATATTCTCGAGACGCCATAGCCGAGACTCGCATACACATCTTGTAACCCATTACATGTTTTGTATAATTTTCTCTCGCGTTAAAGTGCAAAATGTTTAGCGACGCTAAAATGTATACATTATCGTCAGATTCACGCAAATTTCTTAATCCTCATTAACATACATGTTTCTCCCCTCCTAAGCGCTTTCTCTTCTTTTAATGTACAATTTAGAAACATGCCGCAAAATATATAAAATTTAATACACGAAAAATACATCCTTATGCATCGCGATGGACGTGAGTCGAAGGATGATTAGAGCGGGGACGGTACAATTCATTGTCATAGCATGAGTGATTCCATCCTCTTGAATAATAATAATTGTAAATCTATAGATCACTGTTTTGAGCATCAAATATAGATATCAGAGAAGAAGGTAGGAATACAAGAGGCAAAAAAAAATATATATATATATAAGACAATTTGTTTTTCCAGAAAAGAAGTACTTGCAATGTAATATCGTCTTGTGCGTAGTAAAATTTGCATTTACATCGCTGAAATTCACGCGAAATTCCAAAAGTTAGATAACATAAAATCTCGATAAATAAAATCATTGACGTTTTCGTTCGACTCTTCACGTTTTATAGATTCCATTATACGATAAACGTCTTGTATTCCTACCGTTTCCTCTGGAAACGAGAACTCTGAAGGTTTCCGCCGTTTACTCAATAATCGTATTCAAACACGCCGATCTTATATTTGTGCTCGCCACACGCGTGCTATCCTACATGTCGCGTTCAGCGTCTTCCTCGAGAGGCAAATGGGAATCGGCCATCACCACCTACACCGTGTCGCTCCGTCGACTTCGAAGCGGATATTTCTGTCCGTCCATCGCGATTTCGCGTTTTCGAGCGATGCTTTATCCGCGCGCGGATTTAAATAAAAAGGAGGGGGAGAGAAAAAACAGGACAACACATAGAAAAAAGAAAGAGAGATACGATCGAGAGACGCTCGGAGAATAACGGTCGATCCTTATTCCACTTGAGTTGGCCGGGGCGTCTCGGCCGGAATCGAAGAGACACTTCGCCGAGGGTTCACCCATTGGAAACCGATCTCAGCTGACTGGTATTTGCGTCAGCGATACCACCTTGTGCGCACCATGTGGACACAAGCCAAGGTTGTCCGGTCGCGACAATCTTGGCGACAATCTCGCCCGCTGTTCGCGCGAGCGATTCGATTCTGCGTCTCCCGTGCGTGGATCACCATCGCGAGATTGTACGGATTTTCTGAACGGGGAAGCCAAGTAGCTGTTCGCGGTTGATTGCCAGGTGGTGAGGTCAGGAAGACGTCGCTCCGGGCCTGGGCGTGGTCCACGGTAGCACGCGAGGAAGCGAACAAGCGCATCCTCTGACCGGCGCGTTCCCGTAGAGCTAGTAGGTAGGTTATTACGTAGTCCAATTTAGGACGCTAGCCCGAGGAGGGTTGCGGGGAATAGTGCCTCAGCTTCCGTTATGAAAATGCGGAAGAAAGTGGATCGTTGATCGAAGACTCTCCGCCAGTTTACTCCCTTCGTGTAATGGATGAAGAGTCATTCTCTTTAATTTTCTTAAAAAAACTTTCTTGTTCGACGACCGATTAAAAATATCGTGGTACTTTTTATTGTTTATCGTGACAGGAAATTTTTATCGATTTAAAATGTCTCCAATTGAAATGAATATTTAAAACAGAAAAGAATTTGATACGTGGCTTAAACCGATGGGTAAATTATTGTTTGAAAGTATCGTATCTATCTTTCTTTCTCTATTTCACATGAAACGCTAGTTGTTATCTTTATTCGCGCTATGATGAGTTCTCGAATTATGCATGGTACATTATCTATTTAATCATATGCAACGGTAAATTTTCGACAATCTAAATAGCCTAATCGGGAAAAGACTCCCGATCTAGTCATCCCGCATGAAGGAATTTTGAAGAAATAATTTAAAAATTTTATTTTATTTTATTAAAATTACGTTCGCTGCGTTCGAAACTTACAAGCAATATTGCGTCTTCGCGAATATCTGATGAAGCAAATGTTGCGCACGCTTTCAACATGCGTCGATCGCATTTTACAAGAGAATATCGGTTATCCGTTGGAATCGATAGAATTGTGCAAGAAGTTGAATGAAACTATAATCGTTCGCCGCATCGTATCCCAGATTGCTGCCATTGTTCGTGAATCTGCGACAGTGCTTCGTATCGGTCTGGTCGATTCTCCTCGAAGATGTCTCTGGCTGACGTCTGGATGTAGGCTCGGGATACAGGAGGGTAAGAGAAGCGGAAAAAAAGATCAAAGAAGCGGGGACGAACAAACTAAAATGCAAGGTTGGTAGGCGAGGTGGTGACAATAAAAAAAAAAATATTAAAAAGATCGATGGAGCTTCGCGGTTCCCCTGCGGTTCGCAGAGACGGCTTCGTCTCTGGCGAATGTGACACGTCGTCGCCGACGGATCGACGCGGAGGATTATCGCTTTAATAGAGGAGGAAGATCGAGGAGAACTGGTCGGTCGATGAGAGTGAGTAGAGCGTTCGATAGAGAAAGAGAGACGCGTATCTACGGGAATTTAGGATAGTAGTTGGCCGGATGGCTTCTAATACCTAGAGTAGCCATTTGAATAGCCATTTGAGTAGCCGTTGGAGCCCTTGTAGGGAACAGAGTGTATGCTCCTGGAACAGAGATGGTCGAAATCGGAAGATGAGGAAAGTACACTTCCCGGGGTAGACCCCTTCGCTCTCTTCTTCCCCCCCCCTCTCTCATTCTCTAAATTCTCCTCCTATCTATCAATCATTCCCCGTCGCCTCGTTAGAGCCGTCGGTAGGATCCGTGAGCGCCGTGTGTTAGTTCAAGAAATAGCCGACGATGTGGAAGAAGTAGAGGGTAGTAAAAGTCGCAGACAAAGTAGCGGAACAGGCAGAAGAATAAGAAGAGATACACGCATGCCGGGGCTTTTTCTGCGGTGGCGGTAATTGCCGATCGATCGCGCCTTGATCAATCGGGGGAGGAGGGGGGGCGGGGGCGGGAAAGTGCGGGTGATGAAGAATGAGAGAGAGAGAGAGAGAGAGTGCGTGTAGGTTGCAGTTTTATCATTGTGGTTGCAATTTTAGCTGTTGTCTGTTGTCTATTGTAAAAATTTGTTCATGTCGCTGAGGTGTGCATTTTGTGTGTGTGTCAAGGTGCAGGAGGTTCAGAGAGCTCCCGCTCACCGCCACCCACATCTACAACAGAACAGAAAACAAGACCACCGCCGTTACATACAAGGTATCCATTAGTATCCACCAGTATTGAAGATTTATTTTATCGCTCGCTTCAAACGCTTTCTCGCGCGCACGCTCGCTCGCTCGTTTCGCGCGTTCCATGCGGGGGCAGAGCATTATTTCAGGCTGATTTATGGGTCAGGCCGATCCTATACCGGGCACGGTGCGCGGTTCGCGCGCCGCGAACTATCGGTTCGACCCGTGGCCCGTAGGCGCCGAGAGAAGGAGTGCAAAGTTCGCGGATGGGTATCCTCTCGCGGATAGGTATCTCCTCTCTCACCGCCTCCAGCGAGGAGGCGGGTGAAGGTGACAACGTTGCAACATCACAAGGCTATCGATGCGAAAGGTCAACGCGGTAGCGGCCTCCTAGTCGGCCGAACCGACGCTTTTGACCTTCTCGAGGCCGGCACCGTGATCGCTTAAGCGACGGTCGACTCTTCCAACTTTCTCGATCGATAAGACAAGATTCGAGAGCTTTTAAAAAGTATGTTCGATTAAAATTTCTCGTTGTACTATCTATCATGATATCGTCATCGCCTTCTCTCTGACGCAGGTATATTAATTTTACACTCAAATGACTCATGTGATCGCATCTTTTCTCCGCGATCAGTCATATCTTTAAACGTGTTCTTTTCTTTTATTCGTTAAAATTTTCACTTCAATCACACATTAAATATCTTTTAATATAATAAAACATTATTTGTAAAATATCACTTATTAAAAATAATATAGCGTTCGAATGAATAGTCTGCATCTCTATATTGTTTCTTTGTGTATTATACAATATTCTGTCAAAAATATGGACCTCTTACGCATGGAACGCTTTGCGAATGTCTCGTTAATTAACGATATATTGAAAGATCAGCGCGAGACGTTTTCGTGATACATTTAATCCTCTCGTATTCGATGTACCTTAATTTCTCTGCGTAAAATTATTCGAATCGCGTTTCGCGACTTGGCCTCGTCAAGTTACTCAACGACGGATCGAGGAATCGCCGAGTCGCTCCGCGAAGTGACTCACAGAATGAAGTACCGACTTCACAGCCGATCGTTTTTCTCTTTTCCTCGACTTTGCGAAAGGTCGAACCGGTGACCCGACCGGTTTCCCCTCGAGGCGCTTGCGTCGAGTCTCAGCTTAAAGCTTACGCGCGCGACTAAGAATCTTTACGCGATATATAATGCACGATGCTGAAACTTCAATGTTATTCATTATCGAGATGCCCATCAGCGATTCTCGGCGTTGAGAAGCGAGCAATATTTGTCCGCTCATATGGAAAAAAAGGAAAAAAAAAAGAAAAGAAACGGGATAATCGCGACACGAACGATTTCCACGATAATCGATGACGCAATCTAACGACGGTTAATTTCAATCGGCGGCTCGATTTTTATTCGAGTTCTTCATTGACGGAACACTGAATCGGACGGATCGTGAATTCCCGGGGAACGCACGAAGTACGAAAACGTCTCCGACGACCCTGGTACTTTCCTCGCGATCGACAGTCACACAGTCCGATTCGCGATCGCGATATTCCGCGGGAACGTCAGCGATACCCACCGACGTCGCGAATGCGCGTTTCCTTTATACGCGCGACGCCACTCGAAGGAGAACAGTCCCTTGTAAGAGACCCCTTAAAGGGTCCCGTATCCCTCGGAGATCGCAGCGATTGATCACGGATCGGCTCGCGCATGTCTCGTGCGAACGCGTAAAAAATAGAAGGAGGAACGAGATCGAAGGAAAAAAAAAGAAAAAAAAACGACGATTATCGATACGAAGATGAAAAAAAAGAATAAATAAAGACAAAATGATATACATATGTATAGTGTACCTGTGCTGCTTGAGATTGTCCTGCCGCTTGAAGGACTTTCCGCAGACCTCGCAGGTGAAGGTCACGTCGTCCTTATGGCTGCGCTCGTGTATCATGAGGTTGTAGGGCTTGGTGAAGCGCCGCTGGCAGTACTTGCAGACGAACTCTACCGTGCACTTGGCGCGCATCTTCTGCCGCCGGCCGAACTCCCTGCCGTGCCCCTCTGTCTCCATCGGCATTATCGCGAACATCCTTATAAATTCCCACCGCTCCTTCTCTTGGTCGAGTCTCTGTCTTCTCCTTTCCCTCCTACTCGTCTCTCTCTCTCTCTCTCTTTCTTTCTCGCTCTTCTCGCCGACGCCCGGAGTCACTCCCACCACTTTATCTGTCTCCCTCTGTCCTCTTTCTCGGTACGCTTCGTCGTTCGCTCTTTCTCTCTTTCTTACTCTGTCATGTACTCTCCGTCTTTCTGTCTTTCTCCCTGCTTCGCACGCAGAGACTTTCGTACGCTCTCTCTTTCTCTCTCTTTTTCCTTTTATCTGTCTCTCTCGACTCTGTCGTTCCTCGATTCGCTCTTCTCCTCCCGCGTAAAGCTAGTCTCGAGCGCGGCTGACTCCTGGGAGTGAGATCACTGCTTGTAGCACGTCGCGAGAGGATCCTCTCTGCCTGAAAAGAGCACAGATATCGATGATTCCTCCGATCTGACTCGCGCGCTTCGACGGGAATCGCCCGCGTCGCTCGAAGCAAAGTATTCGCGTATATATGTATGTATATATATCTTTGACGATGCTTACGGCGAAATGCCGTTCTCTACGATCAACGGGTTAGCAAAGTTAGTCGAAGAAGTCTGCGTGAAGTATTTTGCATTCCTTATCGAAACGCGTAGGCGGAGGAAGATGCGCTCGTCGATGCGTCTGGCGCGGAACGTCCCGAGCCGAATTATTCGCGCGACATTTTATTAGGGTCACGCTTGAAACTAATATAGGAGAGTACGAGTGATTTCGCGAAGAAAGCTTGTTGCGAGAAAAATGTACTTAACGAATCGAAATATAATCATTTTACGTAGAACGTCATCGATTCGTATCTTAAATTTTGTATTTGCAACAAGTAAGGAAGTCAATTAAATTAATAGTTTAGTAATAAAATTGAAAATTCTGAAAATTGAAGAATCTGGTTATAAATGCATTAAATGAACTTTGTTTCGTCTTATTTCATCTGTAGAATTGTGTTTAATTTGATATTTTATTATTTCGGTAAAAATTCTGCAAAGTATATTTGCGAATAAAAACTATCATGTGATTTGTATTTCTTCATAAAGAATTACTCCTTCCATCTTATAAAATATAAGGTTTCTTAAATATTTAATATAATCACAATTAATTTTGTAATATTCGTATGAAATTATTAATCATATTAATATTGTACGATTATATTAATGTTATATTTATATATTTTTTTAATATTGTAAAAAATTTTTCGATTTTATTTCTACAAGAAACAAATGATAAATAATTATTTAAAAATGCCACGAATAAAATATTAATTTCTTATCAATACTTTTTTGCTCAATTTAAATTATTATAAATTACTTAAATTACCACTCTTACATAACGCGTATCCTTTGGATATTCATTTTTTAATTTTTGAACTAATTTTATATAAATTTTACTCATAGGGATAATGTATACTGGAGATAAACGTGAGAGAGAAAGTGCAGCAACTATTAGCGTTAAAATGAATACGATCTATAATTTTTACTCGTCATATTTTTTTCGAATAAATCGTGAAAATTTCCGATGTTCGTGACGCTAAAGAAACACGAAAACGAGTCGCCAATAAATATGCGATTGATGTGAGCCATTTTTAAATTTTTAAACGCGTTTTTCTCGAAATCATGTTTTTCAAATGTCTTGCATGATATCTCAAAAACTAGTTGATCAATTGAGTCGGGCATACACACAGCCTCAGAATATGTGTGGCTATAGTCCTCACCAAAAATCAAGTCGAAATATTTTTTTTTTAATTTTCACAGCTTTTTAATGATGAAAAAAATGGCAAAAATCGAAATTTAATTTTCTAAGTGACGTCATTTTAAAAATTTTTAATATTTTTTTTTCATTTTAGTACCTAGCCATGAGAGCCATGGACCAACTTTTCTTTTCATGTCCTTATTAAATTTTATACCGCACTTATTTATAATTATTTTTTAATAAAAGAAAAATTTTGAAACATATTTTAAGTATGGATAAATATATGGGAAAAATCTTATCTCAAAGAAACTTACTTTTTTTTTAAATTTGCAAAAATAGCATAAAAATTCGGCTTTTAGATTAGAATATCTTCTTAAATAAAATTTTAGTAAGTCATACAAGACTGATATGGATAGAGTCATACATATATTCGTCCAATTGTTTCCAATTACGTCATTTTTCTCTTTACATTGAAGATATTTTCTACTTGATAACTTTTATACAAAGATATCATAGATCTGAGTAAAATTCCCAGCTTTATTACATTTACTTTGACACATTCATAATTTTCAACATGGTTATCCTTGAAATGTCTCAAATTTCGGGAATAATTTAGAGTCTGATGTAAGCGAATTTACACACCAAAGTCACATTTTTTCTCATGTGGCAAAAATTACAATTTATTTTATCGTTAAAAATAAATATTAATTTTTCCCTTTCTCTCTTTCTCTATCTATCTATCTATTTATCTATCTATTTCTCTATCTCGCAAGCATATGCAATACATTAACTGTATCATAAATAAATTACAGCGAAAAGAGATGAATCTTCCGTGCAAAATATGTATTGCATTCGAAATTTGTGAAGCGTGAAGGAAACGGAAGCTGCTCTTAACAACGCCGGTATGCGTTGAAAAAGAAAGAAAGATAGCCTGGAGGAACCAATCGCGGCGCGCGTAACCGGGAGCTCTCGCTACCGGGCTCGCGTATTATTAAGCGCACGGCGCACGCTCGAATAAAGCGGCGTGTCCGAATGAGTAATATAAGCGTGCCTGGGCGTAACCCAGATTGGTTTAGCCATGGACCCCTAACGGGCGGCGGAGCCTAATGTCGGAACTGCGCATTACGCGCTTACTATAAAAAGCTTCTTCCCGAAGAAACCACCGCGCCGAGTCGCTTCTTCGGATTCGGATCTTGACGCAAACACTGACGTCACGAGACGTGCTAGGTGGGAACGATATTCGTGATATCGCAAAAAGCGATATGGTTTTTGTATAGAAACTGGCAATAGACATTTTTACAGGCTGAATTTTTGATAATTTTATAAATTGCATGCGGCATTTTTGTTGACCTTTTAACTACGGCTGTCATCAATAAATGACGAGTATGAAGTAGTAGGTATAATAGCTGCGAGGAATAATATTTTTGTTGGAAAATTGGAATTTTGCTGTTATTTTCAATTTCAATTTTCTCATGCGTTTATGTATTTTAACCAATTTTAAAGATGAAATTTTTTTTATATGAATAGAATATGAAAATTTATTTTAATAATAACAAGGAGATTTATATATATAGTAATAAAAAAATTTAATTTTTTATATACATATAAAAATGAGAAATTGAAATTCTCATTTTATTTACTTGAAATACCTTTAAGAGCAAACGATCCGATTGCTTAAAGTATCAAAGGAGATGTTAAATTGAAAATTGAAAGTAGAACAATTCTTTTTTAATTCAGGCCAAGATAAATAAATTTATTCTCAACGCGGCGTCTCCTCTCCTCTAAATTTGATCATTATTCCTTGGAAACGCAAAATTTACACCAGTCGTTACTGTCATGAGATATTGATATATACGCCCGTGAAAATGAACGACACGCCGCGGCTACTAAGCGGCAATCTTGTCGAAGAGTTACGAGGTCGCGATACGCCTGTATTACCCGAGACGGAAGAGACACATGTGGCAGGAACAGGTTCTCACTTTGCGCGCGAGGCGAGGTTAATGAGTCGTGCGTTAATGAGTCGGGTGCCGAGGAAAGCGACATTAGTCGTGTAAACGCTCAGGTTTTACATCACACGCACACGCGCGCGCACGATGATACGCGGCACGCAAATAATCCGTTGAGGACGATGATAAATGGATCGTGCTCTCTGATAACCGTATGTCTGTCTGAACTCGATCGCGAGCAAAATAACAGAGTCGCAACAAGTATAACGAGCTGCTGGAGTTAATAATTCCGGAGTCTTCTTGGAGATCATGAGGTTCGTAACTAGAAAGAGAAATGAAATAAAATCGCGCGCGTAACGAGATGCGAGATGAGTAGCATCGAGAATAATGACGTTTCCGCGCGTATCGACAAGAAGACAAATATCCTTGTTATTATTGTTTTTGCTTCGCGAGAGTTCGCGCGGTCGCCTCCATTTAATGATATGATAATGTACGATAATTTATGATAATGTGACATTTATGTAGATCGTCGTGCTAGCGGAAGATTTGCGAGTAGACGGAGAAGCGTTTTGATATGCGCGAATCTGTATACCAGTGCGAAAGTGAATTTTGTCGAGAGAGAGAAAGAGAGAGAGAGAGCTCGGAATAATCATGCGATCTTTTCGCAACGTGAACATACTATCATGATTAAATAAGCGATTGAAAGAAATTTCGCGCGATGCAACAATCACGTATATTTCCATTGTAATTCCAAGTAATTGGAACGAATAAATGGAGAGTTGGATTTTAATAACTGTCAACGAGCTTACTTGATAAAGTAAAGTTCTGTCTGAAGGATCTAGGATGGATGCTACTTACTTTCGCAGATAAATATCTTCTTAAATACCGAAAATTTCTCAAACCTACATTCGATACATCTCTTGTCAGCAAAATAAAACTAGGAAAAATACACCGGAGTCTGTCTAGCCTGCTATCGGTATTCTTGGATGAAAAAGGGAGGGAAAGTCCGCGGGTACCCTTTGTTCCTTTCGCGTCGCGGTTGGTACACGAAGGGCGGAGTGGAACAAGGAGCCAATCGAGGTGGAACGGAGAGACGACCAACCGAAGAGGCCCCCGACTCGATATACGTGCGTGCACTCGTTCTCGCGTGTATGGAGGAATAAAGGAAGGAGCAGTAGCCCTCCGGAGTCGTTCGTTCGTTCTCCTCGCCGCAGCGAGGAAGGCCAGTAGCCAACCAAAGAAGAGTCGCTACTGTGCACCGCCCTACCGCCGACTACCGGTTTTCGGCCAGTCGCTACCGCACTGCGGCCGGAGAAGTCCACCGAGCGAATGGACCACACCCTTCCTCCCTGCCCCCCTCATCCCCGCCAACACGAGACATGACGTATCTTGGGGGACCCGCGGACGCAAGGGCGTTTCTTTCCCGAGAGATTGTTCCCTATCGCGCAGGAAGATTCGCGGCGAGAGAAAAATGGTAGCCCGACAATGGATCCCCAGACTCCGAAATATGTGGAGTTGGACTTGAAGAATCTAGAGATTTCAATATTAAATTTATATTTTCGAATCATGGAAAGAATGTTGAGCTTTGATGCTATTATTATATATATAATATCTAACAATTTAGTCATAACAAGTTAGTCGATGCGATTGACAAGCAAATGTTTAAGATTTGTTTTAATACAGAATTGAAAATTATCTATACTTGAATTATGACCATGAATTAAATCAAACTTAGGAATGATCGTCACGTGATTTAAAATGGGAGATTATTTTCTGTACATCGCTGTGGAAAAATTATACACTTGAGAGCATGTTCATGAATTATCAGATTTGAGAAAGAAAGTTGGCGTAAAGAAATGAAAAAGGATTCGAGGACGTTAAAAAGAAAAAATTGTGGACAACCTAAGAGAGACCATTTCGGCCAATCGGAACGCGGCAGCTACCGCGCACCGCCCTACAATCTGCTACTGGTTTTGAGTTCAGTCGCGAAGACTCGAGATACGCGAACGAATATGGGCCACACCTGTTCCCGCCCGCTTGATAGCCCAGACATGCACGCGAGTAAAAAATGTGCGAAAAGGTTCCGTGAGATATCCAGTAGTACGGATATCTCATTTTCATCCTTTTCTAATTGACAAATATTTTTGTCAAGTTGGAGATTTATAATAATATATAATCTGCTTTCTCTTTCTTTCTTATTAATTCCGAATGTTACTAAAATAATAACATCATCACATTAAGTCCAAGTACACGATTGACTTGTATATTATGTTATATGTATTTAATAAAAAAAAGATTAATTTCTACGTCAAATTAAAATTGTATAATTGTAGAATATCCGATCGAAACTCTATTAATTAAAATTATAAATAATAAATTAATTGACTTTGACTTACCGAGATAGGAGAAATGCTAGTAAAAAGTTTGTCCTCGAGCAGTAATACTCTTCCGTTGAAGATAAAGCTGTAAAAGCGTTTCGGAGAGCAAACGAAGAACGAAACTCGCGAAACGCGTCTGGATTGTGTCACGCCGCCAACAGTGAACGCGTTATTTAAACGGGATACGGTGGCTCGTGAAAGCGTTAGGAGATGCTGCACGTGTGTCTTCCGGGCTGACAGGTCTGGACCGTTTGGGTGCGCGGCGTCGACTGAAGCTTCGTTTGGCCGGTCGGTTCGCTGGTAGCCCGAATAGGTAGGCACACCAGAAGACGGTAGGACGCGATGTGTAACCGCCAAAGGTCTCCTCGTCGTCGTCGTCGTCGTCTCGCTTCTTCTGGTTGGAGGACCGGGAGACACCTCCCTACCGAACCGACTCACCGATACCCACCAGTTGTCGTTCGTGTGAAGGTAGCCTCCCTCGATTCCACGGGGAACGTCCAGGATGTTCCTTCCTCGACCTCGTTGCGATGGTAGAGGTAGAAAAGAGGCGGCTGGGACGGCGAGGGAGGAAGAGGGAGGAAGAGGGAGAAAGAGGTGAAGGGGAAGAGGAGGTGGTGGTGGAGAGAAAGATGCGGAGGAGGAACGGGAGCAGAGAAGAAGGAAAATGAGGGAAGAGGGTGACGGCGGGTGATGTCGGTAGAGAGGAAACGGTGAGAACAATGATGAAGAGGAAGATCCGACGAAGAAGGGAACAAGTGGTAGCGCGTCTTGTCCCGGCTCCGCATGCGTCCTTGTCTCTCACCCGGACGCCGAATAGCAGCGCGGTTATTCACAAATCCTTCGTCGACGCGGCTTCCTGAGCTCCCGGCTTGGTATCCGTTCGCCCTCTCCGCTTTACCCACGACTGTCTCCTAGCGTTCAATTGCTCCCTCTCTTCCACGCTCCACGGGAACCTCGAGTATCCCTACCACTGGGACCGGCGTCTGGGCCCGCCCTCGTAACCGTGAGACGAGAGCATCCCTCTTCACCCACGCCGAGACCCCTTCTGGTCTATAATCTTGCGATGTCTCCCCTACCCCTTCCCTTCCCTTCGAGTACTCGAATACCGCCGCTTCCTTCCGCCTTTGCCCTTTCCCAAAAGGATACCCCCCGCGGGGGCGGTAGCCAACCCTGGTCGTAAAAGCTACGAAGGTAGCGCTCGTATCCAAAAGCTAGAGCCACTGACTCTTCCCGGCGCGCGTTTCATCTACTCGCCTTATCTACCTGTGCGTAGGTCGGAATACGTTGCCGATCGTTGTCAGAGAAGAAAGGTTGATATCTTTCTGAATAAACGACACGAGCTATCTCAGCTACTTGCGCAAAAGCGCAAAAGCGAGGTGGCAAATCGTTTCACGCGGAGAAAATCCGCGAGAACGCATTTCTTGATTTCTGCCGCGGTAGGAAAGACCGGGAGAAAGGCAGAAATAAAGAAGACGAGAGAAAGAAAGAGAGAGGGAGAGGGAGAGAAAAAGAAAGCGCGACAGTCAGGTAGACACAGAAGGAGAGACTCTCGCCGCTGACGATGAGAAGCAGATAGTGTGGGAGAAGATGGAGGTGGAAGGAGCGTGCAAAAGCGAAGAGCGGGGGCTGACACGATGCCGCGGGGGTTCCCAGGGCACGTGGGAAATGCACAGTAGTCGATGTCAATCCCCCCACCACAGGCGGCTCGCTCGGGCCCCACCGGGCCCCACCACGAAGTCGTCGGAGAGCCATCGCCAAGATTCCGGGCGCCGCCCATCGAGATCCTGCGGTATCGCTTCATTGGACAATCCCATCCGGACGGGACGATCGCCTCCCTCGCCGGGATGATCGAGTGGTGGAAAAATTCCACAGGAACGGTGACGACGAGGATGACGACGACGACGACGGCGATGAGGACGATGAGGACGATGAGGACGATGGGAAGAGAAAGAGGACGATGAAAAGGAAGAGGGCGAGGGAGCGATTGGTAACAAAGGCTACGCCGACGAGCCTGGCATGCGGCGAGCCCGTGGCCACCGATTCGACTTGCGAAAATGCATCGCCAAAGATGGAGAGGCATCTCGAAATGACAATGGGAGAGTTTGGAGATAATAGTATTAATTGAGGGTATATATATTCCCCTTAATGGGGATTTTGAATGGCGGAGTATTTTTCACGTATGCGATGTAGAAATACACATTGATTACTATAGAAATTGTATTGATATGTCGAAAGTAAATGTAGTTGCTTTGGTACAAAATAATGATGCAGCGAATTGAGACGTCGATAGGGATTCAATGTTGCTAATTATGTTGATTTTCTCGTACGTTTCTGCACCATGTCAAGCATATGTCGAATTTAACGCGATTGCATTGTAATGTATTTGTATGCTCAAGTGCAACTAATAAGTTTCCGATTTTTTCGTTGCAAAAAAAGAAAACATTCCACGCTCTGTCACGCAATTTTATTCGCTCAAGTTGTGAGATAATTGAGTTTTGTATTGTATGGCAATGTTATATCTCGGAAATCTCTTACTAATTATGTTAGAGATATTACGTAAATGAAAAATATAAATATATGATGTGCTATAATTGAATCGATATCAAAAAATAATAATCATCAACTTTTATTGTTGAAAAATATTTATAAATTTTGTGATTTGACAGACAATTACTCCAATCCTCAATAATTTGAATAATCGTGACGTTTATCATATTTTTCGAATATAATCAAACTGGTTCCTCAATATAAATTTTAAATTTTAGAAAAACTCTAAAATGAACGACACTTACAATTTTAGCACAAAGTAACGCGAATTATTAAGGGGTTATGCCTAGTTAGCAGGCCGAAAAAAAAGATGATATTTGGAAATTTTTCTGAAAAAATGTAATAATTTTTTTTATTAAATTTTTATTTAAAAGTACAAATATGAGGATGTTATTATATTTTTTTAAAAATAAAATATTCAAAAATGTAAAAGTTATAACTATTCTCCCGGATATTGTTTTTTTTAAAGCACTGCGGTGAGCAGTGCTATTCGAAGCTGATTCATCTGATATCAGAAATTCGATAAACTGTAGTTAATATATGAAATTGTTTAGTAGTTGAACGAAGGATTAATCGAAAAATTGTTCTTTTTCGACTTAAAAATTGCTCAATTTTCATTAATTAAAATAAGTATTCATTAAAAAAAATCCTTCGTTCATTAATTAAGTTTTTATATGTAGAAGAAGCCTGTAAAATTTCAAGCAAATGATATAACGGGTTTTTGAAATATCTTGCTCACCGACTTTGAAAAAGTGATTTCGAGAACAACGCCTTTAAAGTTTGTGTTAAATTTACGTTTAAATAAAATGTAGATTTTTTTATTTACACAGAATCATCTATTCCGGGCTCATATAATTTTAGTTTATTTAAATCTTTATATATTGGCTTGATACTTGATACCCCTCAAAACATCAGAGGTGAAGCTTTATAGTCGTGTTTAAACAAAGTTATATATTCTTGCGCTTTATGAAACATACTTATAACTTCGTCAATTTTCATTCGATTAAAACTTAAAACTTTTAGAAAATCATTTTCAATATGATATACTTCAAGAAAATGTAAAAACATAAAAATCGATTTTTTTTACTTTTATTAGACTAGGCGTAACCTCTTAATGCAGAAAAGAGTTTTAATAACGTTAATTTTTCTTCTTCTTTTCGTCCTTTTTAGCTGTTTTTCTTTCACTAGTAATTAATAATTAGTAATGTTGAATTCGATCACATTTTCAGCGATTGGATTTTATTTCATAAAATTATTTCCGTTATGATAATGCAATTGATTATCTTGAGTAAACGAATAATATATCATCCAAAAATGATAAAATAATAAATATAAAATATATGATGCCCTATAACTGGATCGATACCAAAAAATAATAATTATCGAATTTTATTATTGAAAAATATAAGCTATGCGTGCGTGTGATTTGACAGACAATTACTCCAATTCTAAATAATTGAAATTATCACGACGTTTGCCATATTTTTCCAATAATCAAACTATTTTCTCAATATATTGGATATACTTTAATAAAGTAAAGCTTACTTCTTGTGTATATATTGGAATACTTTATATATTGGATATACTTTAATAAAGTAAAGCTTACTTCTTGTGTCCTAAAATTCTAAAATATCTAAACGGTGTCCGTCCAACATTTTTCCTCAATTTTACGTTAAGTTAGAAACGGTGGTCGAACAAATACACGCTGATATCAACTGTCTGAGCTGTCTAATCGAAAGTCCGAAGGGTCCGATAGCCAAGACTTGCGTTATCTTGATATTCAAGAGAGAAAAAAAAAGACGGTTGTGCGTATTCGGTGATCGCGCGGATCACAGAGAGGCCGCCGTCTCTGTTGGCGCAGGAAACGGAAACTGACGGAAACAAAGCCTCGGCAAATAGACGGCATCTCTCACAGGGGAACGTTACGAGAGCAAATAACTTTGCGTCTCTCGTTATTGCTCTCTCGCCTCGGTCTCGCGACAAATATTGTCACATCCGCGGTAGAGAAGGAACGACAACGTCTCGTCTTCGAGGGGCCCTGACGACCGATAGATTAGGGGGGCCCTCGAGCACGATACTGTATAAACGACACGAGAGATAACCGAGAACCGATCAGGAACAGATCTTGCGTCGAATTAGCAGGTAGATAGGTAGGTAGGTAGGTAGATAGATAGGTAGATAGGTAGGTCCGAGCGTGAGAAATCGTTTGTGTCGATCTTGAGATAATGTAATCCGAAAGGAAAATTTGTGAATGGGATTTCGAAAAGTGGAGAAACGCCCTCTCTTCGTCTCTGATTGTGCGTTGCGAATGTTGAACGGAAAGGACAGCGTGAAATATTTTTTTCCTCGAATTATTCTTTTGATAGAGTGACGGTACTTCTGACAAAGTGACGGTAGCTACCGCGACCTGGAGTAAACGACAGTTTAAGAAGTACGGATTGTATCGTGTCTTTTTGCGATTTAACACGAATAATCGGCTCTGTAGTTTGCATAGGAAATTTAGCCGACAGATTTTTATCTTCAAGCCACACCGAACGACATAAATCTAGTCTTTCTTTTCTGAGAGATATTAATATATAATTTATTACTATATTAATTATATATAATTGATGTAAATATAAATTGTAATAAAATATATTTCAAAATATATAGAAATAATCAATCTATATTTTCTATAGTTTGAATGAGGAATGGGCGCAAAATTCTATCAACCAAATTAATTAATATAGTAAATATATCAATTAATTAAGAATAAATTATATTAATATCTCGGATTTATCAATATTTTCTACATTAATTAATACAGTTTATTCCTACATATTTATCTTATAGAAAGTACAAAATATACGACGCAAATGTGACAAATAAATACAAATCATATTTGTAGGATATATATTATAAAAGCGGAGAGATCTATGTCGAAAAATCACATGCAAGTAAAATTCTTTAAATAAATGCAGTGTATTCGCGTCTATACTAAAATATAAAGCATTGGCAAGGATTTGCCGTGGATTCTAAATTGTCGACTGTATATGTATGATGATAAGTGTGTCCCCCTCCCCAGTAATGGCGGTCACATCAAAGCTTTACTCGCGTTCTTCGTCGGCGTGAAGTCGCGGCTCGTAGATACGCGGATGTGCCTAATGGAAAGGTGTGTGTGCACACACGACAATGTTTCGTATCTCTTAATGGTCGTTTCACAATCGTTTTGTAAGCGTACGAATTTTGCGTTCTAAAAGTAGGCATCAAGAACACGCGCCAAAAAAACGCCGTAACGGCTTTACCATCGTTTCAATAAAGATAGGCATGGCAGTGTGAGTTTGGACTAATTCAGAGACTTTCTTGACAAATCTCGATAATA